ATAACATATTAACATATTACACTGTATAATTTTAAGGTTATTAAACAGATATGATGAACCTGATGCAAATTCATTTAAAGTATTGGAAATTTCTTCCATTTTCATACCATTTCGTTATATAGTATTTATTTCATGACAATAAATTTTTTTTTAGTAATGAAAGCATGAAACAAGCCAGAATTTTAGTGTGTTTTTACTGCATGGTTTGTAATTACAGTTTTGGGAAAAACCATACATAAAATGCTAAGATTTTATTATCTTGCTGCAGTGTTTCTGAAGATCTTATATATTCATCTTCGCATATATTCTATTGTAACATAGTTCTTTCAAAAACTATATCTGAGTACTGCTGGAGATATATTCCTAAACTAGATTGAACTTTTGGACTACAGATGTATTAGCTTTAAAATGGAAAGTCATTCAAAATGTAGCATAGGTATTTGCATAAATAAGAATGAAAAAAATGTGCAATTAATTCGTTCAATATTTATTACAGGAGAATCAATATAATAGTCCACAAGATTGTAGGGATAATGGGAAAATACTATAAACAAGGATTATAAAAAACAAATTAGCTAGAAAAGTTTAGCTATTTAAAAAATATTTAATTCTTTCAAAGGCTAGCTATGTTTTTAGCATTTGAGTATTGGTAATTGAGTGCAATATTTCTATCAAAGATTGATATACTATTACATTCAAAATTGAAATTATATTAACTTTGAAATTCAAGAATTCAAGTTTAGCTATAGGAGTCTAGTGTATTTTTTTATTGTGTTTCTTAATGAAGAATTAATTGTAACTATCGAACCCAAACTACTACAACTACCACAACTACTACCTACTAATAATTTGGGCTGAAAATTCAATAAGCAACTTTAGAATGATTCAAGAGGAAGAATTATCAATATGCAAACTACACAACAGTACATAATATGTGTAATCTATTTAAAAATAATAGATTTCTTTCCTGACTTTATAACTACTATACAAAACTAGGTATTTTGTAAATCCTATTCAGCTATTTATCTGAAAAATGTTAAAATCATCTGAATAACCACAAAAGTTAATAAAATTAATAGACTTGTCTCTGTAAAAAGTGTAATAATGGAAAACATGACATATTTTAATATTCCAGTGATTCCAGAACCACAGGGGCAAATTTATTCATTAAAAATGCTTTGTAAAATGCTTCCTTATGTTTTGACATAGCTAAAATGGTAAGGTAGCAAACTGGTTCCAACAGAGGTCAGCTTTCAGGATTTACTGTTTTTATATATTCTGTATAAATTAAACATTCTACATCCAAAATATGTTTCCTCAGAATCTCTCTAGTTCTCTCATAGACCATGTATAGTACAAATTCTGGTAAAAGGCCATATGGCAGCAGTTTCCTTAGAATTGCTGTTTTCTAGTTTGTTTGAAAATGACTGGCAGAGGCCGCCAAACTAAGAAAAGGGTTAACTAAAACCAAAGTTCCCTTGATAATTCTGATTATTAATGGAGAAATAGAAGATGGAAAGATAGTGTTCTTGAAAGTGACAAACTGGAATACAACCCCAAGTCCAATTAGACATAATTTAGACATTAGACATTGGGCTGCTGTTTTTGCCTAAAATAATTTTACAGTACAAACTCTCAAATGAAAAAGTAGAGAACATCTTAGCCTTCTTCCTTCCTAAGGCATGAAATGGCACACCTAAGAACACAACAAATTACATATTAAATTCTAGGCTAAAATACCCACCAACCAGTCTCTTATAGGAGATCAACTTATAACAATTAATTCAATTTTTACTGGCATTATCAGTGCCTCACTTATGGCCAGGTAAAGATTCTACCTTTATCCATAAATCTCTGAGTACAGATGAAGTATTTTGATGAACGTTTCTACAGTCTCTGTAGAGAGGGGCAAGACAGCTGCACTACTCGAGGAACACACAAAGTACAACGCTCAGAATAAAGCATGTAAGAACAAGAAATAATGTGTTCTCAGTTGAAGAACTTTGGCACAAAGATGACTTTTACAGGAAATGAAGCTAATATAGAATTCAAACACATCAAGCACTCATTAAAAGATACTCGTCTTTGATAAAAAATTTTCCCACTGTAACTCTAATAATCAAGAAAGTAAAGGCACGAAAACTCATACGACAAATGCCACTTTCATGGGTTAGCAAAGAGAGAAAACAATCCCGTGAATATTAATGTGAATTCAGCTGTACAAGATGAATGCTAAAACATTGTTTACAATTAGAAAGCAACTTTACTTTCCCCTAAAATTGCCCTTACAAATTAGAAACTTTGCAAGATAAATACTGTTACACACTAATTCAATCTAAGAGTTAATGGCCAGAAAATAATTACAGACAATGTATGTCTCCAGGCAGATAGCATTGGAGTCACTCAAAAAATATTTTATAATAGTAACAAATTGTTTTACATCTTTATTGGTGATATATATAAAGTACAGCCACTTCTGATTTTTTCATTGTTAGTTCACTTTTCCATTATCTCAAGGATCTCCATTAGTACCTATGCAGTCCAATATACTCTTATCTATGCTTGCCAAGCCTGCACCTGTCAATCATTAAAACAAAAGATTCTGTTTTAAAAAATAAATTGATGTTCTGCACAGTTATCACCATATTTCATATCCAAGAATCCTTTGCATTCCTTATAGGCAATCTTACAGGAGGGGAAAATGTTAAGTTTCTACTTCTACTTTTTAAAATAAATGTCCACACTTGTCCAGAAAAAAAATAAAGACTAACTGAGGTGATTATAATGAGTACTGGCTGAACAAGACAGAATATCATAGAGCTATCTTGCTGTTTTGTCTTCTGAGATTTCAGATTTGATTAGACAGATTCAAAATGATTCTGATATTGTTTAAATGGACAAGCCCTCCTGCATGGCTGCCTTTTTAAAAAAAGTTTCTATATCATGATATCAAAATGCTGCATGCACAAACTGACTTTAAAAAGTTCAGGTCTCTGAGGCATAATGTAATTCACAGATCTTTCAAACCTCACAATAAATAATAATCTTCATATATGCCAAATTAAGGACAGTGCAAATATAATCTATTTGAAACACTTATACCTATTTTTAAATAAATATGTCTTGTATTAATTATAGTCATTCCAATTGGCAGAAAGTCTCAGAAGGAAATCCCTTCTACCCCAACTGCAAACCCATCACCAAATTTATTTAAAACAGAAATTAACTTGCATTTTTTTTCTAAAACAGGAGAAGCAAAATACAATGCAATGCAAATAAATATGTATTCACACTGCTGGATATCCCCCTTTTCTGTACAGCTCCTGCTTTGCACCACACCAGATCTGTTATTAAGGTTTCTATATCTCTCCAGAGTAGATTTTGGGTACATGAAGAATTATTTCATGTTTGCACTGTAGAAGCCAGTTTTTCTATCCAGAAAACTATTTAGCTGAATATTATTCAAGATCAAAGACACTACCACATTTTTAAAAATTCTTTATAAAAAGTAAACTGTTCTTCACTGCGTCAACTAGCCCAAAAACGAATACAGCCAACCTCAGTAGAGGGATAAATTAAAAATGAAAACGTTACAGCCCGAAAGAAAACCAATTCCCGTATTTCCACGTTAAACCAATTTCAGTGGCAAGAAATAAACAACTCCCTTCAAAGGAAGGAGTAGTAAGTGGAAGCTCCGAAGCACCACATGACCTACATCACATTCATCAAAAGACTCGCAACCATGCTATTAATCCAACCAACCCATCAAATTCATAGCATTCCCCATGTTTTCAGTTCATGGCCTCCAAGGATGTAAAGACACCCACAGATAACTTTGCAAGCCACATAGTGCATCTAAATGCCAGCAAATGGAGAAAACAGCCCGGACAGCTGAGCCTGGCTACTTCCTCCCACAATGCAATTTGGGCCGCCCCCACGATTTCAAACCCTCCATTCACGGAAACAAAATTAAAGAGGTCAACAATGCTCCTCTGCCCCTCCCGTATTTCATCCAAGGCACCAACCGCGCTTGAAAAGAGATGGGTTCCCTCTCCCCATTTCATTCAAGCCTCGGGGGCACCCCTGAGTTTCCGGATGAGAAGGAAGTGGGCCCGCCCCCGGCCCTCCCCAGTTAGCAACAGGGCTGGGAGGGCCTTCCATGTGCAAGGGGGAAGGAAAAGGAAGGCGGCGGCGGCGGCGGCGGATACTCACATCCGTCTATCTCCTCCTGAACGTCCTCCTGGAGCAGCGACAGATCTGGGCAGGCGGATTAAGACAAAACAAAAGGCAACATGAATTCTCGCCGAGGGACTCCGCGCGGCGCCCTCCGCCCCAGCCTCATTACGGGCTCCTTTGGCACCCGAGCGCACACCTCACCCTCGCCCCCTCCTCACATTCCCACTCCGAGGGAAGAGAGACGGAAGGGGGACGCCTCCCTCTGCCAACAAATCCCACAAGCCCTTCCTACCTCACTGTCACTGAGCAACGCGATTTGAGCCGCGTAGGTTTTTTTTAAAAGGAGAGAAAAAAACAACCCCACACTTTCACCATAGTTGCTCCCCACAGGCGCTAGTAGTCCATGCACACGGGCAGAGGCCCAGATACCCCACCCAAATCGGGGAGTTGCCCGGGGGTCTCTCTCAGGCGCGCTACCCTTCCTTTTGGGACTTATTTGTTTCGAGGGAGGGGGCTTTCGCAACGGGACGAAGGGGGAGGATTGGGGTGGAAGGATGGTGCTACCTACCCGCCATCTTCCTGCAAACCTCCCCGCCCGGTTCCAGGGGCTACATTTAACTGCAAGGGCACCAAGAAGCGAGGGCTGAGGGAAAAGACAGCTGGCTTGAGGCCTTTGGGCCCAGGCGCGTTTCCGGGCGTCCCCGGGAGAGTCTCAAATCGAGCGAGCGAGCCGGAGAGGGAGGGGTCTGAGGCAGACACAAACGGCTGCCCCCGCCTCCACCAGGGAGGGAAGTCAGGCAGGCAGGCGAGCCTGATGCAGACAAGCCGAGCAGCTCTGCTGTTCACCTCTCCTCCTCCGACTGACTCACCGCAGCCTCGAGAGCCGCCTCGGCCGGGCGCAGCCCTGTAGGAGCGGTTTATCCCGGCCGGACAGGCCCAGCCGGAATCGGTAATGCGGAATGAATGGCTTTAACCAGCTCGAAAAAAGCCACATGGCACATTGACGCGCCCCTCCCAGGGTCCAGCTCTAGTCCTGAGAATGGCTTCCCTTGACTCAGACCTGACCTTGTCTCCCCGTCTTCCTTCAAATTGGTTGAAAGACATGAAATTTGAGATGTTTGTCTCTCCTGGTGGGCAGTGGCACCATTTTATAGTTACGCTTGAAGGTTGTTAGATGTCCTTTACATACTTTTTCTTTCTTGGATCAGACACTCATTTCTCTCCCTCCCCCCTTGTAAGCGGATGTTCTCTTGGCATTGTCCGTGTTGTCACTGGCTTCATTTTTCTTTTTTTGGATGCTTTTAACCCCTATCTAGGTTAGAAGCTTTTTATTATATTGTACTGTTTTCCTATGTAGAATATTCTGCATTAAACTTAACCAACAATAAACTGGAATGATAAAATTGAACTCACTATTTTAATTGTAGGTGACCCCTTTGGTTTATAAGATGGCAAATGGAGCTATTGATGTCTGGCACAGCAATAAATAGATTAAACCATTATGATGTCATTCTATGAAGAACTACCTTTCAGAATTGGTGTCACAATGCAGCAAATTCATGCTTTATCTTATCTCTTGACAATACAAAAAATTGTACAAAAAATTAATCAAACTACGATTTGGAATGCAAACTACTATGTCAAGGAAAGACACATTAATAAGAATCTTTAGGCTCATATATAAGCACACTGAGATTTAAGAGAAAATAATATTTTGACAGGGAAAAATAGCTGCTATAACCTAATGATTAGAAATATTGTCAGATAGGAGTTCCCTAGTTGAAATCTTATAGGATTAAAGCATTAAAGCATCATATGGCCACATTAGTTACTATTTTTCTTTCTTTTCTGCAGAAAAATATGCTGGCAAAAAATTGCTGCTTCTGTTGTTAGCTCTGTTCTGTCTCAGTCATGAGCTGATGACTATTGCTATCCTTGCTGTTTTAATGTACAACACTTTAAAGAAAAGAATTGATGGGAGTCCTCCATCATGCATCACCTACCAACAGGAAAACAGCCACCAATCACTCTGTCTAACGAGATGAACTAGTACTGGTATAGGGAGGTGCTTGGTGTAGCAACCTATCAGGTTGTCTAATTAATAGCTTGCAAACCCCAATGTGCTCTGTGCCTATGTTGTGTCAGGTTGTGAGTCTGGCATTCTTATGAAAGAGCTAAATCTGTGTCCGAGTAACTGGCAAATAAGTTGTAGGCATGAAAGAAGTTGGGGGGGGGGAGAGAAGCAGGAAAGAATGGTTGATAATGAATAAGTTCCATCTGGTAATGCTGCAAGGGCATGCCAGTGTTGGCAAAGAGCAGTACCAGGAATTAGACCAAAATTTTAAAAAATACAGCCATATGTATACAGCAAAAAAGGTCTAATATACGCTGTGATGGCAGAACCATCCACAGACAGCTATTAGAACCAGGCTGTCTCTTCTAGTTTATATCAAACTTTGCAACACTAGACTAGCCCTTTCTTAAGGAAGCGCTACTTTTAAAAAATAGATCTAGTGCTTTTTCAAAGGGCATGCAATCCTTATTTAAAAAGCAGGTTTAGCTCTCTTTAAAAAAAGATGAAATTGATATTTATAAGAAAGCTGTATTACCTTTATAAATGTACCAGAAAGCGCCTGGCAGGCATTACTTAGGGAAATGCCTTTCCAAAAGGCATCTACCAGTGCTCACTCCTGTAGCTCATGTAAAAGTGGGTATGGAGAATAATTCTTCAGAGACCATAACAAAGAGGATGTGCCTTCAGAAACTTACATTGGTCAGTAGGAGCTGTGCAGACCCTACATCTCACAATATCACATCATCAGTGAAAATGCCATTTTCCCATTGGCAAAAAACGCATTGGGAGAAAAGGGAGCAGTATTTTAAAATAAGAACAATTAAAACTTGCTTTAGTTGTAGCATGGAAATAGAATGAAGGCAATGTTATAAGGCCATAGTATAATGAAAATCAGTTGTGAGATAATGTTTGTCCTTCAATTGGAAATACAAGAATAAATCAAGGGTAGAACTGAATGCAATTTTGAAACTAATATGTAAAGTAAAGCTTATGTTATAGTCTCATCCACTTCTAATCTATCATATAGAGACAATAACATTGGATTATAATCTATAATATGGATAAAACACTTAGCAACCAGTCAAAGTTATGATGGATCTCCCAAGGTATTTATGACCCGGCTCTGAAGTTCTAATGGCTGGAACTTTGATCGCATTTCAGGGTCTTGGCAACTGGCCCACATTTACAACCATTTGCAGCATCATACAATCATGTCACCACATTTTATAATATTTTTGCCAAAAACTGCCTTTACTTCCAGTTTTCAGCAAAAATGTCTCATCGCAAACAAGTGGTTCACTTAATCTGTTGCATTAATGACTGTCACACTTGCTACCTCAATCTTCTTGTAAAATTATGCATTACTGTGCCTACAGTTCCTCTTACAAAAGAAGGAAACTCCAGATTCATCTGATATAATCAGATATGGGTATGGTATCATTAGATTTTCTGTATTATGATCTTACCATGGGCCATTTGCCAAGTTGTTCTATGTAGCACGTAATCTGTAGTACCTATCCCAGAGAAGAAGGGGAGGGGTGAGTTTAGTATAATTAAGAATTATCTAGATTGCAATATTTTAAAATGGAGCAAATAATAAAACTTCAAAAACTATATCATGAAAGCACTTTCATATTAAAAATCATAATACATTAATTATGTCCATGTGCCCTTATTTAATTAAAACCTTCTCATGTCGAGAATACTGCATCCAATACAGATAAAACAATTTAAAGTGTCTTTTCAAAGCTGTCCCTGCATGCTGGAATACCATACCACTTAGGACTAGGTTGATCCCAACTTTGCTCATCTTTTGGAAAGACCTGAAGATCATGTTATTTTCCCATGCATGGAGATAGTCAGGCTAAATCAGGTGTGTCAAACTCAATTTCATTGAGGGCTGCATCAGCATTGCGGTTGCCCTTGGGGGACTGGGTGGGTGTGGCCAGGGTGGGTACAGCCTACTGGGTGGGCATGGATGGAATAGGTGTTGCCTACTGGGTGGACATGGCCAACTCTACATCGTTCACGTCAAGGGTGCCTGTGGGGGCCTGGGCAAGAGTGGGACAGATCTGAGGGTCTCTGGCAGAAGGGGGTGGGACGGGGGCAAGAGCCAAGGCGTGGTCCATTTCTTCATTCCTCACAAAGGCTGACACCTCCCCAGCATGCACCCAGGGGGCGGAGCCAACTCGGCAGGGGCTGGTTCCTCACTGTTTCTGGACGGCCTTGTAGAGCTAAGACTGATTGCATTTCAGCATAGATGGCCACCACAAAATTGTACATTGGCTCCCGGCTGGCCTGCGCCAGGGCCAAGGCAGCGGGGGCTGTTCCCTCACTGGCTTCGCGGGCCACATGAAACCACGGGTCACATCCAGCCCCCGGAACTTGTGTTTAACATGTCTGGGGTAAATGAACCAACAATGCTGGTATATGTGGTGTTCACTAGCCACTTTGTGTTTCAGTTGGTTGTGAAATACATTCTTACTGTATTTTTTAATTTTTGTCATTTGCCAAGAGTTGTATTTATGAGTTGGGCAGCCATATAAATTTATTTAAATGAATATATAAAGTACAATATAAGCAATAACATATTACCATTTAAATAGTTAAAATCTGTAATCTCATACCCTACCACCCTGAAACACCTACAAGGGCTTGTTCACAAATCTCTCTAAACCATTGGAGGGCTTATTAAAATTATGTGTGAACTGGTTATCATAGTATTGTTAAATAGCCATGGTATTTAAAAAAATGCTTATGTCTGCTTAATGTAGTAGGACTACCAGCTGCAGATTGGCTCAATATTAAGATAAGAATAGTCTGGGTGAAGAACAAGTAAATGGGGAAAGCAAACACTTTGTCACTGATCTCTATAAAATAAATGGACATAGAATAAAAGGAAGGCTCCACCAGAAAGCTATCAACATAAGAGGAAGCAAAGGCATTTCTATTAACAGTGAGGAAATAATACTTGCAAGAACTGCAAGATGGTTGGACAGGAATTTATTATGGTGACCTAAGTATTAGAGGTGTATTTGTCCTGGATGAAGATAATGCATTTCTAAGCAAAAACAATTTGATTCATTAAGCAGTAGAATAATGAGGGGCCACACTTTGATATTTAAGATTATGAAGAGAACATAGAAGTTATGAGCTTGAAGGAAAGTTTTGTGAATGTGTGCATGGCAAGAGATTTGGAAAGTACTAAACAGCCTGTGTCCTAATGGGTCATCATTTTAGAGATATTTCCTTAACTAAACGGAAACAGAATGACCAAAGGCAGCCAAAAAACAGTGCAGCAGGAGCATCTTCCAACTTTCTTTTGGTTTCAGTAATGGGTTTCCTTGTGAGAATCTTGAAACTTTCCCCTTCCCTTCCTACCCCATCCCATCTCTTTCTAATATGCAGGAAAGTGGCTGCTGCTAGCTGGAGGAAAGAGTGAGGGATTGTGAGATTGACTGGGAAACTGTCACAGAATGTTGAAAATGAAGATAATGTGATTGCATTCCCTTAGGAGTCATGATTCCCAGATTTTGGAAACATTCTGTAAGCTAGCCCATTTGAATTACCTTGGTTCAAAAGTTATCACACTATTTTGCCCACTTAAAGGTCATGGTAAGAGTTTTAGTGATGTATAGATTTATATACTGTTCTTTCAGGTTTTATTGGAAGAAATTGGCCTTGAGACTTAATAGGAAGACATACAGCAAATCTTACTGGATAGGAAAAATTTGGAACCTTAAGGAACGGAGAAGCAGAGAAGAAAGTACTCCCTGCCAGAAGATGAGGAAAATGATGGTGACTTGCTGCTGTGAGAGACAAAAACAGCTATGTGTCTGGATTCTTTGGTTCATGAAGAATCCCATTCCTCATAA